AGAAAGAAAGAAAGAAAGAAAGAAAGAAAGAAAGAAAGAAAGAAAGAGGGAGGGAGGGAGAAAGAAAAAAAGGAGAGGAAGGAAGGACACAACTCAGGAGACTTTTTGAAGCAGCACAGCAATCTAGGGCTGGCCTGCAATGAATCTAGGAGGTCATCTAGAGTCCAATCCCCTGCTCCAGCAGGAGATCCTTACAGAATCAAAGAATAGTAGGGTTGGAAGGGAGGGTGTGTGTGTGTGTGTGTGTGCGCGCGCGTGCGCATAGCTGTCAAAACTCCAAAAATAGGTCAAGTAGCTCTGGGGAGATCAGTCATAAATTAGAACACTTGCTAAACAACCGGCCATTAAGCAAGGACCACTTGTATTTGGTTTGCCAGTCACATGGCCCCCAAGCCACCCTCACAAATCAAGTCCCGCCCACAGAACCGGTTGTTACAAAATTTGAATCCCACCCTTGTTTTAACCGCTCCTGTTGCATGTTCCCCCAAAGAATTCAGCATCAGCTTCTCGTAATGCCAGGAAGGGTCTAATGGTTTAGCTGAGGTTTTTTAGGGTGTGTGTTCTCCCAAAACCATTATCAAGTAAACTCTTAACTAGGGGGTCTGATTAGTTGACTGCCTTGGAAAAATTATTCTTATGATTATTAGCACGAGGCAACTGTCAAATTTTTATCTACTATAAATCTTGAGGAACTTATCCCAAGCCCCACCAGGTCTTGTTCACTGGAATTCAAACACCCCACAAAGTCCCCAAAACAGTCCCCAACACACACATACACACACACACACTTTTCTATACATCATACGGCACAAGTATGTATATTGACTTTTTGACACACATCCACCAATACACATACAGATGCCCTTCTTGTCAGGTAGAAATACAGCATTTTAAGACATTAACACTGAAGGCACAGCCGCGTGCTAATTCTGACAATTTCCTTGCTACTGGATTTCTTTATTCATAATGTTCTAGTTTATTCGAGAGCCCCTGAATTAGTGCTTGCAAGGCTACCAGCTCTGGGCAGGGGGAGGAGCCCAGAACCTGCTTTTCTTACCCAGGAGATGATGGAGAAGAAGGAGAAGGCAATGGCGGCTCGGGCGGCATCTCCTCCTTGGGATGCCCCTTTGCTGTCAGGTGTCCGCTGCCACTGGTTGGCCAGAAAGCAGAACGCCACAAACCAGAGGAAGGACCAGAAGCCTGTCAAGCAGAAAAAAACAGTCAGAACCCCTGTTGGTTGGGCAGACCAACCAGGAACTCGTGGAGGAACCGCTCAGAGCAGCCTTTGCAAACTCTGGGAGGACTGCTGGCCTCCTGGAATCTCAGAGGAGAGCAACTAATCTTCCGGTCAGAACAAGGGCCCCTTCGTGCGCACTGGGACAATATGCTCCAATTAACAGACTAACCTTATCTAACAGAATTTCTAACTCAGAAGGTGCACAACTGGAACTTCATTGTAGCCCCTCTTAAGTCTCTCCTAAAATTCTCTTGATATAACATGGGCTAAATTAAGGTCCTGTTAGGTGGCCCCACAGCTGTTTGAAGGGCCACCCTTCAGCTCTGAGCATAGTTTCCAGGACTGCACCGCAGCTCTCACTCCTGGGCTCTGCCCCGTTCTATTGCCTACCTGGAGGAGAGACTGGAGGGGATGCTCAGGAGAGGGGCTAAAGCACAAGGGGGAGAGAAGAGAAGATCCAAACCCTCACAGGTGAAGTCCTGCACTGTCTCTACGAGCGGCTGGAAAGGCAAGGGCTCCCTTGGGGTGGATAAAGAGGAACAGAGTCCAAATCAGCCCCCCCTTCTCTGCCCTTGAGGAGGACCTTCAAGCAGAGATTGGACTCCCATCTGTCAGAAATGGTGTAGGGTCTCCCGCTTGGGCAGGGGGTTGGACTAGATGATCTACAAGGTCCCTTCCAACTCTGATTATCTGTTATCTGCCCTGTTTGGAACTCCGTGTCCAGTTTGGGGCACCACTGTTCAAAGGGACACTGGCGGATTGGAGGAACTTGACAGGAGAGCCACTGGGAGGGAAAGCAGCCCCCGGGGGGAGTAGCTGAAGACCCCACTCTGCTCAACCTGCAGAAAAGGGGTCTGAGGGGAGGTTTGGGAGCAGCCTCCCCCCCCCCCACCCCCCAGATATCAGCAGGGCTGCCACACTGAAGAGGCCTCAGACACAACCAGGACCGCCGCCAAAAGCCTACGGAAGGAGGGTCAGGCTAAATGTCCGGATGGTACCATCTCTGGTCAGCCAGTGCCAGAGACCCACCCAGGGGCTCCAAGGTGGGCTTTCCCCCCCCCCCCCCCCCCCCCCCCGGGGCCCCCCGGGTTTTTTTTACAATGATGTATTCAGACGTTCTAAATCAAGGCAGCCCTCGACTGACCACATTCCATTCAGGGACTGTTCAAGCTTAACGAAGGCCCAGAAGAAAGTGACTTATGACCGTTTTTCACACTTATGACCATTGCAGCATCCCCAAAGCCATGGGATCAAAATTCAGGCGCTTGGCAACTGGCAGGTAACTACTGGGTGCAGTTGCAGCGTCCCAGGGGGAGTCACGTGACCAGCTTTTGCGACCTTCTGACAAGCAAGTCGATGGGGAAGCCAGACCCATGACACTAACTTAACATCAGCAGGGATTCACTTAACAACTATGGCAAAAATGGTCATAAAACGGGGCAAAGCATACTTAACAAATGTTTCACTTAACACCATAAATTTTGGGCTGAATCCTGGTCATAACTTGAGGACTACCTGTACTGCTTTGTTCTACCATTTAGAACCTGTCAGATCTGCCAGGCTCGGCTGGGCACCTCAGAGGCCCCCTGTACAGAGTACAGAGACACTATGAGAAGCTATATGATCAAGAGGCAATACTAGAAAACAAAGTACAGCAATATTTATAAGAGGCAGAATTACCAAGAATACCTGATGAAGTAAAGACCATGTTAGACGAGAAAATAACAATGATGGAATTGACAGAAGCAATAAATAGACAAAAGAATGGGAAAGCTCCTGGCCTGGATGGGCTACCAGCTGAATTTTATAAGACAATACAGGAAGTAATCTCTACTACAATGTTGGAAGTATTGAATGAGGTTTTGACAAAAAATAAAGTATCTGATTCATGGACAGAGGCATATGTTACACTTATACCAAAAGAAGATACTGACCCACAACAAATAAAAAATTATAGACCAATATCCCCGCTAAATGCTGATTATAAAATATTTGCTTCAATAATGGCAGAAAGACTGAAAAGATATTTAAACTATTTTATACACTCAGATTAAAAGGGATTTCTGCCTAAGAGACAAATAAAAAATAATATGAGGATAATATTGAATACTCTGGAATACTATAAAACCCATTCAGAGAAACAAATGGTATTAGTGTTTTTAGATGCACAGAAAGCATTTGATAATGTAAATCAGCAGTTTATGTTGATGCAATTGGAGGAGATGGGTTTCAGAGACAGATTTATTAAAGCATTAAAGGCGATATATAACAAGCAAATATTCAATACTTCCAACATTGATAAATGGAGAACTGACAGAAAATTTTAACATTCAAAAAGGAACCAGACAAGGCTGTCTGCTATTCCCATTATTGTTTGTATTGACTTTGGAAGTCTTGAACAGAAACATCAGGAAAAATGAAGAAATAAAAGGAATGAAAATAAAAAAGGACGAGTATAAATTACAAGCCTTCGCAGATGATTTGGTTTTTATATTGGAAGAACTATTGGAAACAGGCCCTAAGCTGATTAGAGAAATTTAGGAGTTTGGTGAAGTAGCAGAACTGAAAATAAACAAAGAAAAAACAAACATTTTGGCAAAAAATATGACAGAAAAACAAAACAAAAGATTAATGGACAAATTAAATATTCAAGTTACAAAAAAAGTGAAATATTTAGGGATACAAATGATAACTAGATGTGGAATACATAAAGAAGATTATGAGAGATTACTACCCTGTTTCTCCAACAATACGGCCTCCCCCAATAGGAAGTCCCAGCATGTTTTATAGGCATGAAATGAAATTAAGCCCCTCCCCCCCAAGTTAAGGCCTATATTAAAACATGCGAAATGGGGGGGAAATGGCAGGGGGCGGCTTGCTGTTAAGAAGTACTTTTGTTGCACACCCGGATATGGTGCTGCCTGCGTTGACCCTGATACAAAGTGCCCCACCAACGCCGAGGTCAACATCCAAGCTGTCGCTGCCCGCACTAAGATGCCAGTGGGGGGAATTAAGTCACCCCCGAAAAGACGGCCTAGCCGTTTTTTCGGGGCTCAAAAAAAAATAAGACCCGGCCTTATTGTATGAGAAACATGGTATAACACATTGCGATAGACTTGGAAAAATTGAAAAATTTACAACTATCTTTAATAGGTAGAATAGTGACAACTAAAACGAACATACTGCCAAAAATATTATATTTATTCCAGATGATGCTAATAAGATTGAAAAAAAAATACTTTGATGATTTAAATAAAATGATGTTGACATTTATCTGGCAGGGGAAAAAGACAAGAATTAAGAAAAAACTATTGCAGGATACAAGGGTGAGAGGGGTTTTTGGATTATTCAGTTGGGAACTATATTATCAGGCAACAATATTGATATGAAGGAAGGAATGGATTGTATTGAAAAATGCTAGATTATTTAACACTAGAAGGGCATGATTTACAATTGGGGTGCCATGCATTTTATGGTACAAGGATATTTTAGGAGATACTACATAAGGGATGCTTTATTAATAGTATGGGGGAAAATAAGAGACTATCGTTATATGAAAATACCAGTCTGGTTATCAACATTAGAAGCTTTTACACATCCACAGCTTTTAAAAAAGGAACACATTATTAGATATGAAGAAATTTTAAATGAAAAGGGTGAACTCAAAACAAAGCAAGAACTAGAGTTACAAGGGATAACTATAAATTGGTATTCATATTTGCAAATACAGACAAGGTACGAAAAAGATATTAAGATGGCTGGGTTTTAGAAGGAATTGACTGAATTGGATAAAATCCTAACAGGCACTGAAGAGAAGTTGATCAAAAAATTATATGTTATTTATTAGGAGTTGAATTAGAGGAAGAACAAGTAAAAGAATCAATGATTGCGTGGGGGAAAAATTTTGGATATAGAATAGATTTGGATAAATGGCAGATATTATGGTCTAGAAACTATAAATTAATTATGTCAACAGCCTATAAAGAGAATTTGTATAAGATGTTTTATAGGCGGCATCTATCCCCATCAAGAATTGCCAAGATGTTTAAAGATAAGTCGGCGAAGTGCTGGAAGTGTCAAAAGTCACCAGAATCATACTACTATATGTGGTGGACATGCACAGAAGCTAAAAAGTATTGGGCTAGAATACACATGTGGCTAGTAAATGATAAAACAGCATATACTTAAAATCAGAGACATTTTTATTGGGAATCTTGCCTGAGGGTTACAACAAAGAGTTAACATATTTGATTATCAATGTACTAACAGCAGCTAGGATTGTAATTGCACAAAATTGGAAAAATGAGAAAATTCCGATGGATGAAGAAATAATTAAGAAAATAATGGAATGTGCAGAAATGAGTTGATTGACAATAGCAATTAGAGAACAAGAAGAAAAATATTATTATAAAATTTGGAATTTATTTTATGAATGGTTGTATAGAAGAGTGAGAAATTGAAATATGTTAGTACAGTATAATATATTACTACTGATAAATGAATGAGTTAGAGTAAGAAAATGAATGTGAAATATATCATTGAAAGTTAATAATTATAATGTTAAGGATAATATAATAAGTGATATAACAAGTGTATATAATATAAAATAAGTGATATACGTAATATAAAATACTGATTAGAATGATTATAAACATGTATAGGTAATATATGTACGATAATGTTATTATGTGCACAAAGATATATGTACCCAACTGACACACTGTTGAACAGAAAGGAGGTTTTATTTGTTTGTTTTTGTTGTTGTAAAATAAAAAACTTTTTATTAAAAAAAAGAGGCCCCCCTGCCCTCCAAGGCTGGAAGGGCAATGAAGCTGCGTGTGTATGTGATGGGGAAAGCAGGGAAATGACAAGTGATAAAGACCAGGGAAGCTTGGAACCAGCATCCGAGGCCAGGCATCCTGAGGAAGTTGTGTGGAATACACCAAAACATCTCAGCATTCTCAAAAAACTTCCCCGCGTTCTGATTGGCTGAAGACGAATCTTTTCAGCAAGGGAAACCCACAGCTCAACTGACTTTACTGCAGAACATCTCTTTGTAAAAGAACCCTTCGCTTCCACCAAGGGGAGTCGAGGGTCTTTCTTTTCTAAGGGGCAGGCCTGACATGAGGCTCCACAGAGTTCTGAGAGAGCCTTTGCATTATCCAAAATGAAGGGGTCAAGCGTGTGCAGGAAGGCCCTGCCTCTCGTTGCTCTGCAGCCTCCTTGGCTTCCCAACTTTCCCTTCCATTCCAAGGCAAGCTTCAAAGCAAACGCACCCCTCACACACTCCACATCCTCACCCACAAATGCAGCCAGCTGGAAAACGCCCCCCAGGGAAACCTAAAAGCCATTCCTAAACGCCTTCAGAAATCACTGGGAAGAGGAGAGGAAAAAGAACACCTGAGAAGATGTAAAGCAGATTTTAACATAGTAGTTTTATTGCCTGATCGAACTGGTTTTGCTTTTCTTTGGTTGGATTTCCATAGGAATTGAGCACGACTAAACACTGTCTTTCTTCACACATCTGCAGTTGGACAAGCACTTTGTACGGCATGCTAGTGCCAGCCCATCCAGGCTTTGTCCATGGGCAGTGGTGGCACAGAGCCGTGCTCCCTGGGTGCACTAGGTCAGGCTCATGACGGGTGATTTTGCCTGCTTATGCAAAGCCATGCGATTGTTTCTTTATTCTGGCACCACATGCTACGTGGATACAAGCACGTTTAGTGGACCCAAGTCTGGGTTGACCATGTGGTGCGAGCCAGCCCCGGCGTGAGTCAAGCTCCTCGCTCCATCCCAACAGACATACCAGAAAAGCCAAGGTCCACGAGGACAAGGCGCTTCCTGTCCTTCACACTGCTGATCTGCTGGAAGTAGAGGTCCATCACCAGGAAGAAGGTACAGGCCAGGAAGGCCAGCAGCCCTATTGCGATGCCATAGTTGCAGGCTCCTTCATTGCTGTTGAAGATGCAGTGCAGCACCGGAGACTTATCTGTGTTCACGTAACCCTCATTGATGATGGAGCCAAACACCACAATAGAGAACACCTGCAGTGGGTGGGAGGGGAGGGGAGGGGAGGGGCAGGTGAAGGGAAGAGAGGAACAGTGTGCAGTTGAAACCTCAGCTCTTTCCAAAAAGCTTCATATTACACCATGTTTCGTTTCTGGTCCATCCTCAAAACAACTTATGTAACCAGAGAAAATATGCTAAAACATATCAAGAATATGTGGGTATTTGTGGAAGGTCTCCACTGTCTGATTATGGTACAAAACATACATCACAAGGGGGGAAAGTTTGGGAGGGAAGAGGAAAGACAAGTACAAGCTCTCTATTAAAACTGATGAGAACAGCGCATGCCTCTAGGATGGGGGCCAGCAGAGTCAGCCCAAAGCAGAGGCCATCACCCTGCCTGGGTCTTCTCTTCGTTCATTCATTCATTCATTCATTTGCTGATGACAGATACTTGATGGGAACAAGATTAGGGTGGGTTGTTTTAAAAGCAGGTTATTTTGCCCTCCCCTTTAGCCTTGCTCCACGTGGGGAGCCAAGGAAGGGGGTGTCAAATCAAGTGGGGATCTCAACCCCATGACCGAACATTACAATCACCGGACCCAAAGCTTGCCTGCATATGCTGTGACCTTCCCAAGTCCCAAAGGCTTTGACACTTTCTGACACACCCAGGATACTTCTGCATGGATGCTCCACCCCGCCCGAGGCCCCTGACCTTTCCTATTTATCTTTCCAACCTTCAGTCATCAGCGCATCTTCGCAAACCTTTTATCCTCCACGGGATAAAGTTTCAAAGAGCTCATAGGTGGCAGGAGCAACCAAAACCGCCAAGAGGATCTACAGGGCCACATGGGTCAGGAGGAACTTCTGACCAGAAGAGACGGGCAGGCTTGGAAGCTGCTGGGAAAGAACCCTGGAAGGCTGGAAAAAGCCAGGACCTCCTTGACCGCTGAGGGGAGGAGAGCAGTTCTTCCCGCTGGGAGGGCAGCAAGGAGGCAACCTCCCTTCCCCACAGAAAGCCAGGCAGGCGGGAAGACTCTGGGGGCGGGAGACCATGAGGATCCCCGGATGAGAGAGGGAGAGGGAGAGACAGAGGCCCATTGTGGCCAGGAAAACCACACGGAGGTAAGTCAGGTAAGTCAGAGGAGCCTTGATTTCCTTTCTGAGCTAGGGGAACTTCTGAACTCTTCCTCGGAAGAGGGAGAAGAGCAGGGAAGCTTGAAGAACGGGCCATAAGTTGGAAGAAAAGAGACTGTGGTCAGCAAAGGCGTCCTTGTCCGCAATTCTATCAGCCAAGAGCTGGAAGTAGCAATGAAATATAAAGCCTGGGCAATTTTGCCTCCATCGTGCAAATGAAGACAAAGTCCGCTTCAAGCCTTCCCTGCCTTGAGGCTCTTCTCTCCTCGACCTCCCGGCTTGCAAGTCTCCTCCGGCTTCTTGGCAGCATCAGAGCAGCAGCTCTCAGGCCCAGCAAGGAAAACACCCTCCGACCTAATGGAAGGCGGCTTCCGCCACTGTGGGACGCGGCTGCCAGGGATCGAAAAGCAACACACAAGTTGGGATGAAAAACTTGAACCTGAGACTGTCTACTATGGTCCTCACCCGCTTCCTAAGAGGCCGGTAGGGGGCGTGCATAAGCGCACCAACGTGCCTACCGTCCCTGTCCTATTGTTTCTTTTATTTTTCTTATGTGTATCCATGTATTCATAACTATGTTTTTACTCATACCTATTATCTTGCAAGCAATTGACAAACCAAGTTAAATAAATAAATAAATGACCCAAAGGCAACACAGTCAAATAAGCAAGAAGAGTCCCTTTAATACCTCCAACTTTGCCCCTAATGTCCAGGTTACCTTCGGCTGGAGAAAAAAAACTCTCCCAAGAACAGTCTTTCAGTGGAGGAAATTCAGTCCGAAAACAAAGTACATATAAACTATAAATAAAAATTGACACAAACCATGCTGCAGTAATTAACTTGACAGGGCAGGAGAAGGAATTGCAGACTTGAAAGGCCAGCAAAACACACAGTGGGAATCAGGGCCCTTTCCTCCTCCATAAGCCATGCAACCAATGTTGCTCCCTTCTCCGTTCCTCCCTGCGTGCCCTAGGATGAAGAGGGGGATGGGCCTGGGTCTTCCTCTGAACTCCCTCTACCTTGCTCTACCTCTCCCCTGCTCTGCCCAGCCGGACTTTGCCCTTCCTCAGTTTCGTCCACAGCCAACAGAGACATCCTCCCACTCCCTGTCAGCTGCTCGGCCTCCCCCTCAGAATCAGACTCTGACAGGGGCATGAGACAAGTCTTGGTCAACAAGAGGAATACCTGGATAACAGGATGGCATGGGAGAAGAACCTACTGACCAATATGACCTTCCTAGATGAGAGAGGACCCTCGGATGCTCTACCCCAAAGAGCCTCATTTATTTTTTAAGGGTGGGATATAAAGAAATAAAGAACTCAAGGCAGTGAAGATAGCAAATACTCCATCCTTCTCCTGTATTTGCCCATCACAGCAACGACCCTGAGAGAGGAAGCCTGGCCCGAAGTCACCCAACTGGCTTTCATGCCTAAGGAGGAACTAGAACTCACTAGAATGTGCCTTCAGCCCTACACCATGCCACCTAGCAGTTCCCCAGCAGTTTGGTCTGCATTAAATTAGTGCAAGTTTAGGCATCAGTCAAGATCCTGAGATCTGCAGGAACCGTGACATTTTCAACCTTCTTACAAAGCTGCAAAAGTATTTGTTTAGCATCTCTCTCAGTTCAAAGCCCAGGCAAGATTAGAAAGAGGCACATTTTAATTACAGCACCAATGTTAACGTGCTCAGTGCATTGTGAGCAGAAAATTCATCATTTAAAATTCCCAATATAAAAGTGTGCTGTAGATCATAGACAAAAGCAAATTGGGTAGCTGGTTTATATTAATGTTCAGATTAGATAACCCATTTAATTTACCTGAGGTGCATTGGATGACACTTGAAGAAATGAAAGACAACTCAGTATCTTCAGGGCAAATGAAGGCCAGGATAACAGATTCAGTGAGATTTGTGAGGCAGAGATTCTCCATGTGATAAAGAGCATCAAGTAGACATTTTTCACACCCCAGTGTGCAGCCGGTCTGAAATACTTTCTGCACTGAGCAGCAAGTTGCACCACCACGTGACACAGAGGGTCTTCCAATTCTGTGCCACAGTTGTGTGGTGCTGAGGGGAAAGGGTGAGTTCTGTGCAAGTTCAGGAACAAAGCCGGGAAGAGTTGCCAAAGATGGCAGGGACTGTGTGCCTCTCAACCCCCTGCCCTGCCGCTCTTTGCCTTGGGTAGCTTCAGGGCCTGTATTTCAGTAAAACCATCATTTCTGAAACATTCACCCCCATTGCAGAGATAGAGGAGATGCTTCCCTGCCTGGATTCCTTCTCCAAAGGACTTTCACTTTTCGAAGCATGCCTGGTTTTTGGAGCTTGTACCAGTGATGCTTTGCAAAGTGACACATTTATTTCATGGAAGGCCTCTGGTCTTTTCTTCCAAGGAAATAATAATGGTGGACAGCGGCGACTGTTCAAAGTTACAATGAGTGGAGGCTAAAACATATGAAGGAACTGGGCCTTGGGAACTGGGCATGTCTAAAGAAAAGGAGGACTAGGGCAGACACAATAGCCGTGCTCCAGTATCTCAGGAGCTGCCACCAAGAAGAGGGAGTCAAGCTATTCTCCAAAGCACCTGAGGTCAAGACAAGAAGCAATGGGTGGAAACCAGTCAAGGAGAGAAGCAGCCTAGAACTAAGGAGGAATTTCCCGACAGTGAAGAAAATGAACCTGTGGAATGCCTTCCCTCCGAAAGTTGTGGGTGCTCCAACACTGGTGGCTTTTAAAAAGAGACTGGGGAGCCATTTGTTTGGATTATAGCATTTTCTGCTTAAGCAGGGGGTTGGATTAGAAGACCTTGATGGTCCCTTTCAACTCTGCTATTCTGTTATTCAGTCACTGATGCCTCCTCTTCTTTGAATCAGATGAACGCTAGCCAGATAAATTCTCCCCTGGATAAACAGAGGTGTTTCTCTTCCTAGCAACGTCAGCCATGAAACCTGACAAAACTGCAGCTGCTTGGAGGAAAGTGAAGGACAACTCGGCTAGGAAAAAATGTATACAGGAAGTGCCAACTGTACCTGATGGAAAGCCAGCAATGAGGAAGAGACTGGAGGAGAAGCATGGAGAATGGAGCAGAAAGGCCAGGATAGGAAGTGGAGGACTGTAAGCCACAGTGTGTGTGTGTGTGTGTGTGTGTGTGTGTGTGTGTGTGTGTGTGTG